TATATGTATGTATATATATGTATGTATGTATATATATGTATGTATGTATATATATGTATGTATGTATATATATGTATGTATATGTATGTATGTATGTGTATGTGTATGTATGTGTATGTGTGTGTGTGTGTGTGTGTGTAGAGAGGGTGGCTTTGTATGCATGTCTCACATTAGCATACAGTAGGCCAGTTGTCCTGTTTCTCCGTGTGGGACCACAAACAGTCCAGTGTGACATGGTTAGGGTCTCCACATATAATAATGAAGGCTTCGTGGTGTTGTGTCTGCAGTCTTGCTGTGTGTATTTCCTTATAGGCAGCTGCAGTCACGGTAGATCGGATGGTTGTTCTGAGCAGAGAGTTTGTCGATCTTGTTCTGTAGCGAGTTCAAGTCGCCCACTGTCTCTGTCGGGATTGATGGTTCGAATCGCCTCCGGTGATCTGCTTTCCTCACTTTCAGCTTCGCTCCCGTCTCGTGGCCTCTGTAGCTTGGCCGGTATGCTGTGCCACATGCCGGTCTGTACCTTTGTATTTAGTGCCAGCGGCTTTGACTTGGAATAGACAAAAGGCCACCGTCGCTTCAGCGCCATCTTGAAAGTATGTGACGTCAAACTGAAATTAAAATCGCTGAGCAGGAAGTGCCTCCTCAAACGTGGACAAATGACTCACTGTGTCGGGAACGCCATCTGTATGACCTCACACATCTCTATTTGTTGTTTCAGGTTCCTGTGCCCCCGAGTGGCTCCGCCCAGCTCCACCTGTAGCTCTGCTTCCAGCCTTGTGTCCAACAAGGTGAGTTTGAACTTCTGTTCAATTCAGTGTTATTTATATAACACCAAATTACAACAGCCTTTCTGTTTCAGGAGAACATCCTTGTTTCAGAGGCAGCGCTACCGGCAGAACAAAGACCACCTCAGCTGGATTATTATGGGCCTGAGACTGAGCTCCGCCCACCCGAGGAGGTGGCCAAGCATCAACCAGGGAGTCAGGCAATCAGAGACGGAGGATGTTCATCAGTGAAGAGGAAGAGCTCGGAGCTGGAGGCCACAGAGGAGGTGACAGCAGACACCAAGCGAGTCTCTACCCATTCCCTTGGCTCCTCTTCCTTCTCCTTGCTGGAGGCGGCTGAACAGGAGGTACAGGAGAGGAGGAGGCAGGAGGAGGAGGACAGACGGCTCGCTTTCATCCTACAGAAGCAGCTCGACCAGGAGGAGAAACGGCGTGCCACTGACAGAAGCAAAGGTTCCACAGACGCCTACCAGCTCCGCCCACACCGACGAGCCGAGGAAGAGGAGGGCTGCGCTTCCATCATGCCAGGAAGACCCTGCAGGAGAACGCCAAAGAACTGTACCGCCAAGCCCTCTGCCTCCTCCTCCTCCTCCTGCTCAGGGAAGGGGAGCAAACAGACTCTTTTGACTGAGATGTTCTTCAGCAGCTGAGGTGTCCTCTGCCTGCTCCTCCTCCCCTTCCTGCAGGAGCATGAATAAATTGAGCTGTCAACCTGAGCGCTGTTGTTACTTTAAAACACAGAAGACCAGAAGTTTGTGGACATGCCGCTGCCTCTTACCTGTGAGTCGTCATGGTGAGCACACGGCAACCGTCCACTGGGGAATCGTGAACAGAGTTCATGTGTTTTACTTTGAAAAGTTCTGCTGGAGGATGACTTCATGCCTCTGCACGTCATTCAGCTGGAATGCTTCTTTCTCACTGGTGGAAGCGCTGGCGAGGACTCAGTGCCGTCAGGTTATTTTTACCCATTTGCCAGATGACACACCATTATATTTCCAGCCCCAGCTTCTGTGACTCCGCCCAGAGCCCGTCCACGTCTGGTTAACGTGTTGATGATTGGTCAGGTGGTGTGTGAATGTGTCTCCTTAGTGTTGTTGCTGATGTCACTGGTGTCACATGATAGAATGTGAGGAATTGTGGGATACGCTGCATGCTGACTGCAGTGGGTCATGTGACGCTACATCGGATTTATTTTTATGGTTTGAATGTTGAAAGTGGGAGTTTCTATTTGTCCCAGGGTCACCTGAATGCAGCACTCACCTGTTTAAGCGGCACATGGCCGCGCCATACAGTGGGAGGGGTTAAAGAGGCTGCCGTGTCAACCTGTTTGTCATTTGTTTTTCTGAGAAATAAACCATCACCATCATCGTTTCCTGTTTTCTGACACTAACGAACGAGCAACTCCCCATTCACTATTTTGCCCAAAGGAGCATCAGTGGAGCCTCTCTATGACATCACGTGTGTCTCACAGTAGAGTTAATTCTATGTAGATCTGCACATACAGCTGTGTGTGTGTGTGAGACACATTAAACACTGACATTAAATACATGAATAAACGAAAACCGTGTGAAACGATCCAGCAGTCAGAGCGAGGACTGTGGGTCTGCTGGCTGCTCCTACAGGTGAGACACAGTTAGAAGAATAAAGAATCCAGGTAAACGTTAGACATTACAAAGTGACTCAGGTACTGTGTCCTGATTGGCTGGAAAAGCAGAGAAACGCAGATCACACTTCAGCTTTTTAAAACTTTTGAACCCTTTAGATGGTTTTGCTACGCAGATGATATCCAAATGTACCTTCCTCTAAATTTGGATGCCCCGTCCACATTCTTGCCTTTGTTTGAATGTCTGCAGGCGGTTAAAAGACTGGCTATCCCAGAATTCTCTTATCTTAAATGAAAGCAAAACAGAAATTATTGTTTTGATAGCTGCGTTTCCCTGGGCCAGCTAACTGATACAATGGGTTCTTTCGCCAACCACCTTTCTCATTCTGCCAGTAACCTCGGCGTGCTCATGGATAGTTCTTTTAAATTAAAGAAGCAAGCATCCACTGTGCAAAAAAAAGCTTATCAATTAGGCCGGTTCGAGCCCCGGCTCGGACAGTCTGTCGTGTCCTTGGGCAAGACACTTCACCCGTTGCCTACTGGTGGTGGTCAGAGGGGCTGGTGGCGCCAGTGTCCGGCAGCCTCGCCTCTGTCAGTGCGCCCCAGGGTGGCTGTGGCTACGATGTAGCTTGCCATCGCCAATGTGTGGATGACTGGATGTGTAAAGCGCTTTGGGGTCCTTAGGGACTAAGCAAAGCGCTATACAAATACAGGCCATTTACCATTTAACCAGCACCAGAATGCATGAGCAGATCACCCCTGTCCTCGCTAAACTACACTGGCTTCCCATCAAATATCGCATTGATTTCAAACTGCTGCTCACTTTTAAAATTCTAAATAACCTGGCCCCTAGCTACCTAACTGATCTGCTTGATCTGTACAACCCAAAGAGAGCACTAAGATCCTCCAGCCAACTGCTCCTAATGCAATCAAGGTCTCGTTTAAAAACCAGAGGTGACCGTGCTTTTGCCATCGCTGCCCCTGGACTCTGGAATAATCTCCCAGTGGAAATCTGTACATCGGAATCAATTCAGTCGTTCAAATCCCGTTTGAAAACACACTTGTTCAACTTAGCTTTTGAAAACAATTAGTGTGACTTTCATTTGGCCTGCACTACACCATGTAAATGCGATTTTAAGTATAATTGTACTATTTGTTCTGCCCGCATTGCAGTTTTATCGTGAAGCACTTTGATGTACACTGGTCTTTTAAATGTGCTATATAAATAAACTTTGACTTGACATGACCTCAGACTGAGGAACAGAAAGCATCAGCAGGTCAGAGACTCGGGGTCAGAAACCAGGTCACTGCGTATGGTCTAACAGGAAGTTACATCGCCACACGGCTTTCTGCGTTCCCTGCGGTCATGTGACCTTGGTAACTGATGTCAACATCCCCAAGGAGTCATGGTTTCCGCTGTGTGACCTAATGAGCTCCACGAGAAAATGTGATGAAGTCGACCACATCAGGCCTGATTGATGAGGATGCTTCAACGCGGGCGCCTCGGCTCGCCATTTAGGTTCCTCGGACTGTGACTCAAAAACTCCAGAGGAGACGCTGCTGTGGACCAAAGTTTACTCCAGTTCATCAGAAGAGGATGTTTTTCTATCTTACCTGTTTAAGCTTTAAAGTTTGTAGCATTAGGGGCGTGGCCTCTTTGACGTACAGGCAGCACAGAAACTGATGTCTCACTGAGATTTTTCTTTTTCACTCACATGAGCTCGGGCACTCGCTCTGGAGTATTTAGTGTGAGCTCGCCTGTCCACTGTGGGCTGAGAACCAATCAGCTGCTGTCTGTACCCACACACATGGGATGAATGAGTATACGTATCTAGTAACCTGCATACGTCTCATCATTCTCACATTCCTGCTCTTATATTTGGTTGTTTCTTGCATTTTGCAGCTCTGTTGCTTGTGAAGCTGGCACACAAGAATTTCACTCACATGTGCTGTGACAATAAAACTCTTTGATTTGATTACAGAGAAAAGCAGCAGAAACATCTGAGCTGAACAGGCACTGATTTGATCTTTGAGTGGCCTGTGACCTCTGACCTCCTGACTGTTAGGAGGTCTTTCTCAGTCCAGCCTCTGGAGCTGTGAACTTAGTTCTGTCTACAAATGCACCAAAACCTCCAAATAATTACCTTCTAATATATCATGTCTTTCAAGGCCTCGATGTAATCGGGACCAGTCATGTTCTACCTTTATGCCGTCCGGCTGACCAGTCACGATCAGTGGTGACAGAATCGACTAATAGGAATCCACCCTGAAAAACCTCCCTCCTCGTGTTGAGCTACAGAAGCAGAATCACCAGCTGCTGCGTCGCATCATGTGTGTGTTTGTAGGTCTGATTTCATCCTGTTTATTTCTGTTTTTCCAGTTTGATACCAAGCCGGTCCTGTTGAGGGTAAGTTTCCATCTTTTGTACTTCCTGCATGCGTAATAGTGAGAGGCGTGTCCTGGTGCATGTGCTGATAGATATTTGTGGTTGTTCCTCAGAGTCTGAAGTGGATCGTCAGCCTTCCCGGTGAGTCGACTTCTGCTATTATTAATAGAAACATATTACTGTTGCTAAAAGTCTGTGTACTGTCACAGATTTAAAAAATCATCTTACTAAATAAACTAAAAACTGAGAAATTATATTTGTAAATGGGTTTAATAATTTCAACATATAAGTGCAAATAGAAGGAGTTATTCATGCTTTTACTTTGATGAGATTTGACCTGAATGATACATGATCACACAGTTTTGTAATTTAGTGATTTAAACACTCGAGGATTGAAGAATGAGTGATTATTAATCTGTATGATTGAATCAATGTTTTTATTTAAACAGGTTTGTATTATTAATAATGATTATTCAATGAATTCAGACTCGACTCAGACTATGACTTTACTGATATTGACAGAAATATGAATGTGATTATTTCAATGACATTTCAAGGATGATTTTGTAAGTTTATAAATAAGTTTTTAAAGAACCAGATTAAACAAGTCACATCACAGCATAATTAGAGGAATCCAATAACAGGAATCTGAAACGAGGACTCATTTTACAGGAACCCGATCACAAAGTCAAATTACAGGAGTCATATTGAAAGACATTATAGAACCAGATTATATGGGTCAAATCACAGGAGGCATATTACGGCAAATTACAGGCGCTGGAATACAGGGTCAGACTAGAGTCAGAGTATAGGAGCAAGATTACAAAAAAACAGATTACAGGAGTCAGATTAGAGCAGCGGTTCCCAAACTTTGTTTGCTGGGCCCCCCTTTGTTTTACAAGGAAAATGTTCGCGCTCCCCCCCTCCCGTGTGCGCACAACCACACACGCACACATTTTGCTCCATTGCGGTTTATTTCACACCTCAAACATTTTGTAAACAATTAAGCAAATACAAGTAAACAGCAATAAATTACAGGTAGTAATAAAATAAACTCTTTTACGCTGCGTCCGCACCTACACGGGTGTTTTTGAACACGCAGCTGTTTCGTCCACCTAAACGGCGTTTCGAATCACCGAAAACTGAGATTTTTTAAAACTCAGTTTTTAAAAAACTGAGATTTTTTAAAACTCAGTTTTTGTGGACGAAGAATACAGAGTTCGTCAGGCTGCCTTTTTCACGTCACGCTGTGGCCACGTTATTGTTTACAGGAGATGAATCACAGAATGGCAGATAGAGACGAAATACTGTTAATCTGACTGTCTGCAGGTTTTACACACAGTTACTGTCCCTCCATCTACAAAGGCAGAGGCGTCACAGTGTGATTATTTTACGTGCAGTTGGTTTTTTCCTGTGTAATAATGTTCAACATTGCATCAATACATTTTTCAAAAATGCCTCTCTGTGCAAACTGGGTTTAAAAACATAAACAGCTGTGGGATCCTGTTAGTCTGTGACAGAGGGAACAAATCGTGGCAGGATCAGCCTGATGTTATTTGCATCCTGCTGTAACTTTACTGTATAAAGAGCTAACATCTCCAACATGTCAGGAGTAGTTAGTCATTACAACAAGTGTTTGTGAACTAAAAATCAAGAATGTGGGATCCTGTTTGTCCGTGATTTGGAGAACCCAGGGAAAACCAACCCTGCAGGGAGACCGACCTCAGCACTTGTGCAGGTGAAGCCAAAGGGCAGATTTGCTTCATCATATTTTCTAGTCTTTGGCTTAGAATGAAGTTGGTTTGGAAACATATTCAGCGATGCTTCAGCTCCTGCTTTGCGTTTCTGTGGGCGCCCCGTGCTAGCAGTGTCCAAGCGTTGGTTTTTTTCCCACCCCTTTTCATACCGCGCCCCCCCTGCAATGGCTCTGCACCCCCCCTAGGGGGCGGGCCATACTTTGGGAAGGTCTGGATTAGAGTAACCACACTACCAAGATTACAGAGTCATATTAGAAGAGTCAGATAATGTGATTAAAATTACAGGAGTCGGATGTTAGATATTTGGTTTAGAAGAAATGATAATACTATGAAGGATGTGTTTTTACCTTCAGAGACTCGCCGGTTAATCTCATGACTGTTTTCATGTGCAGTTTCTATAAAAATCTAGATGTGCGTATCAAGGTGTCTGCGATGTGTGGGCGTGTCTCTAGTTCCCATGGCGATTGTCTGCATACTGTGCAACATCCTGCTACTGGTTCCTGAGCTGAAGATCCAGTTCCTGTTGGACGGTCATGTGACTAGAGAGGCTACCTGGGCCACAGGACTGTGGGGCTCTGGCTTCCTGGTGAGTGTGTGTGCATACATGGACTGGTTCTTATACTTAATATATATACATGTACTACTTTAACATGCCATCCATGTGTGTTTGTGTATGTGACCTTCAGATCAGTAGGCCAAAGTAGGGATTCTACATATCGCCTTACTTTGGACCTTTCATGTCTTCCTCAAAGTTAAATAAGGTCAGCTTTTATAAAATGTCTGTTGTCTTTGAAACTAAGCTTCAAACTCTGGTGCCTTCACATCTAGGAAACGATTGGGGTCAACCTGAAACAAAGGCAGATGTGAAATGTAAAAGTGAGATCAGAGGTCAAGTGTGACATGATATTTAGATGCAAAATATGATGTGATAGTCACAATCACATAGTACGATTAAAAAGAACAAAGTAAACAACATGAGGAATATACAGGATATAATATTATTCCCTCAAAAGTAACTACTGCGCAGAGCTGCCGTAACAGAAGTCTGTAGACTGCTTATTCTTCTTTAGACTCTTTCTCCAATCTTTCTTCCTGAGTTAACTTAAGTAATGACTTTCTCCAAAACATCAGTGTGTCTACTACACCTCAATCCTACGAGACTAGGGATGGGTATTGATTTTCACGATTCCAATTCCAGTTTCGATTCTGTTTAACAATTCGATTCTTTATTGATTATTTTTAAAAAGGAGAACACTAAGGTCGATTAGCTTAGAACTTTGTTTCATATCTTCTCTTTGAACAAGATAGAAATTTAGGAGTAACATGGCCTTACAAACCCAGCAGTGAGATCTTAAGAGATCCAGCCTGCGGCTCTTCAATGGGGTGTCACAGGGTCCCCAGGAAAACAAAATGTAAATGTAAAATAATAAAATAAATATTCTTCTGTAGCAATAACAAAGTTTAACATAAATTATTCTGTAGCAATTACACAACAGTAATGTCCCTGCCTACAATTACACACATTCACTTACTGAAAATCATCTGCTGTGGCAAACGGGTGCAAGCCTTTGACCACAAACCGAGTCTCTGCTCGGTGACATTCGTCTATCCTGGCCTGAAAGGAGACGCCGCCGGTAGACTGCAGCGAGAGCTGCCAGCATCTGAGCCAGACTGCCTCTCTCATCATGGTCACTAAATGCACAGTAATGGCAGGTTTGTAATAAGGCAGATCGCGCTAACATAATATGCACTGTTAGTTGATTATTTACCTGCCGCATTAACGGGAGAGGACGTGCAAACGTTACCGCTGCTGCTGGGCTGAGATTCACGAGTCGAGCGGAATTAAAAACACAACATTCATTTAAGGTCATCGCGTGTTTTGTGAGCAAATGCTTTTGCATATTCGTAGTGTTTCCTCCCTTAATTAAACATCTACTTTGCAAGTATTGCAAGTTGTCCCGTTGTCATCCGTTCTCGTAAAGTATAACCAAACTTTTGAGCGTTTGAGCCGCTTAGGCGCCGCGTTTCCTGCCAGGTAAATGACACTCCGCAACGTGGTGACGTCATTCGGGGCGACTGGAATCGATAAGGGAATCGTTTGCAAAATCGGCAAACAGTTCCAAGGAACTGAAACAGTGGGAACCGGTTCTCAACAAGAACCG